TTGTGTCGTTCCACTTGGCGTGGGTATATTGTCGGAAATCGGTGATCTCCTTGTAGGTGATGTTGCAGTCTGTGAGGATATTGGCAATGTACTGGTGTTGTGGTCGGTTGGGATTGTCGAGTTGGGTGGCGTGGAATTCGAGCCATTCCAGGATTTGGTCTGCCGGTGTAAAGGTGTGAAAGTTGGGTGGAGGTCGCCATCGGTTGATTGGGCGACGGAGGACGGCTGTGGTGGGAAATTGAGAGGGGTCTGGGTTGGAGTGTTCGGTGTTAGGGCGTAGATCAATGGGTTGTGGTGGCGAGCGACTGCGGGATGGCGTAAGGCTGGATGTGTAAGTGGATGTTGAAGGCGACCTCCGTCGCCGGGTGGTGCTGTGATGTTTGGAGTGGCGGTGATGGTGATGTCGGCGGCGGTGGCGGTGGCGTCCTCTGTGGTGATGGTCGGACTTGCGTCGGCTCTTGTGGTGGTGGCGGCGACTGCTGTGTGGAGGTTGCGGGGAGGGTGGTTGGGGTGCTGGTGAGGCAGTGGTGTCAGGTTTGTCTGGTGCTGGTAGTGAAGATCCAGGCGCTGGTGTGGCAGATACCAGCGATGGGGATGCTGAATGTTGGGATACGGTAGCTGGTGGGGGGGTGTTCTGGACTGGTAATGAATTGTCCTGGGCAGTCGTGGGGATGGATTGGATTGGTGGTGTTGGATCCGATGGTGGCTGTTGTTGAAGTGGAGGTTGGGCTGGTGTTGAGGCGTTGATGGTTTGTGGAGGCGGTGGCGGGGGCAACGGTTGGAGTGGAGGCTGTGTGACAGGGGGAAAGGCTGAATAGGGTTGCCAAACGCCCTGGGGGATGGCGCATTGTGGGTCTGTGGATGGATGATTGGCAATCGCAGTCTGTTGCTGTGTTGGAGGGGGATGTGTCAATGTAGTGGGGGGAGGGAGTTCAGCCGGTGGTGTGGGATGATGTGGTGGCAACAGGTAGGAAGGGGGAGGTGCTGCTGTCGGAAATACTGAAGTTGGATGTGTGGGCTGCGGTGGCACGTGACATGGTTGGACAAAAGTCCAAGTGGATGGTGTGCCGTAGGTCAGTGCAGTGGCGGTAGGGTTGGACAAAAACGGTGGTGGTTGAAATGGTTGTGGTTGTGGGTGAGGGTATGCCGATGGTTGTGTCGGGGGAAAAGTGGGTGCAGTTGATGGCTGTGGCAGCGGCCATGTGGGTTGAGGTTGTGTGGTAGGTAATGGTGGTGGCGTGGTGTGAGCGTAGGGCCACGGAAAATGCATGTCGTGGTCGTAGCTATGGCGCGGCGCGGCGCGGTAGCAAAAGGCAGCGGGAAAGTGCCGAGTTGTATTGTCTTGTTGTTGTTGAAGGTGTCACCTCTGGTGTCAATGGTGAGTATGTTGTAAGGTGGTGCTAGATGTGAGCTTGTTGGTAGGCGTGTGTTCATGCATCTCGAATTAAGCTGAAAAGCTGTAATGCCCATCCTTGAGTTCTGTCGATGAAAAAATCGCGGCAGCAACATAGCAAACATAGAAACACGCACATGCTTGGAGGACATGAAGAGAAAACTGAATGCTGAAATCTGAGGTCTGAAAGTTGGAATCTGAAGGATTCTCCAAGAACCGTTTTTTGGCCCGGCGGCCGTTGTGGCGGTTGATTCTGTGAGGGTGTCGGTGCCTTCCTGTGAGAGTCCAGTGAGCGGTGGTGCGTTGGGGTGGTTGCTTTCCCATGCAAATTCGGCGCCCCAGTGACGGGGATCACACTCAGCACCCGAGTGGGACGGCTGAGCGAAACACACTCTGACACTGGTTTTCAGTTAACGCAAGTCACGTTGGGAAGGAAGGTGAGAGAACAGAAAGGTGCATGGGTCCGAGCACTTGAAAGGTTTAACAATGTTGGCACAGAACGGCGGCGCAGCTGCTGGGGACGAGTGGGTTTGTGGGGAGTATCATGGAAACCACCATGAAAACAAATCGAGAGTGGAAAAGCTTGGTCAACAGTTGAAGGTGCAGGTACACAGGGATGATCAGTCCCTGCATCCTGGTCATCTGCATAGAGCTTCGTTGGCGACAGCTATGCAGTGACCCTGTCGCCCCCTGCCGATGTAAGGTGGAAAGAGTGGTGGTGAAAGACCCTTTGTCCAGGGTGGGACACACACACACACATATACCTAGAACCCATTTGACCTCTGTTTTGATAGGAAAAGACCATATTTTGGGTGGTTTGAGGTCTAAAATAGAGGTCATTCAGGTTCTAGGTATATATATATATAGGCGCAAGTGTAGTGACTCGGGAAGAAGTTAACGAAGGAAGTGAGGGAAACCACAATTGCCATTCATCAATTGAAATTGAACAGGAAGCATGTTACGGTACCTTATTGATTTGAAGGATCAAACACAATTACAGAATGGATACAGGTATATCAAAAAGCTTCGTTTACCACACCATATTTTCAATGCATAAAGCCTACTTTTAAACTGAAGCATGCTAGTATTACAGTACATCGTCGTGTTAGGATTGCTGCTTTCACCATCAAGGCTGAACATGAAAATAACCAAAGGAAATAATTGGACTGGACTTTGTTAATAAGATTGGAGGCTGGAGAGTGAGCACGTATGCGGATATTACATTACCTGATGAACTTTACCAAGTTGTAGAAAACCAACATTTAGAAATACAAGCCTCTATCTTACTAATGCCTCCAAAAAATAATGAATTCAAATCGATGAGTATGATACTGATGAAAGTGTCAGTAAAATAGAGAAAGTGAAGCAAGTAATGATCATTATATTATTTGCAGGAGCAGGTTAAAGTCATATCTGCCAGACAATTGTTTATAAAGGATACACAGCATATATTATTTGTATGCCCTACTAATAGGTTTTTACACAAAGTTGAAGGTGATGCCACAACAATAGACTAGATTTTTGGTGTAAGTGTTGGTGGTGTTAAACTAGAACCGTTTGATGATTCTGAATTTGATGTCATATAGTATTTGATCAAATCTATTTCGTCAGTTTGGGTGTTTATTGGAAAGCCACAAAGTTTGTTGAGCAATACTATTTTGCAACAGGTGATGCCAAACAGCTAAAGCCAGTCCAGGAGCTGACAAATACTAAAGATTATGAAACAATATGCTGATGCAATGATTGGACATATGTTTGAGCCAAATATATTGGTGAAAATATTTAAGAGACTGAACACAGAAGAGGATGAACAGCAGCTAAACAGTATCAAGAACTATAGATTTGCAAATGCCAACAACTAAACTGATTGAGAAATAATACGTGTGGTACTATGTCATGTATCAAGTGGGATGAAGACACTGGAAAACAGGAAAAACACATGAATATGAAGTAGGTGAATTCTTGATATGCAGATGTGTTTTCACTGTAAATGTAAAATTGTTCATGTTGGTAATGGCAGTACTACTTTGAAGAATGTGAAAGCACTAGAGATTGACAACAAAAAACTTCATTCTTGTTTGGTGTTCAACTTGCCATTCTGCTTAAGGTAGTCACATTGGTGGACATATTACAATATTTGATTCTAGCAGTCTAGCAGTTTTCTTGTAAAACATTATCCTGAATGGAATTGGACAGCCTTTTTGTATAATAGGTATATTGGTACAATAATGGTACCAACGATGATTTCAATACAACAAACATTATAAGCTACTTTGATGGAAAAGACTAGCAAATGCATGATAAAACAGCCAAACAAAAGGTATCAAAAAAAAGGTATCAACAGAAGGATATGTAAGTGTCCAGGTTTTAAGATTGAGCATAGTTTCCAATGCAGTGGTTTTTCTTTGTTGTTGTTTGGTTTTCCGGGTCTAGGATTGAGCATAGTTTCCAAATCATTGTTCTTTTGTGTCAATGGTATCCCCAGGAGCCCCCTAATCAGCGAGCACACAAATATATACATACATGTGTGACCCTTAATCTTCAAACCATGGAATCTGGTAGAAATACGTACCAATCATATCCAATAATCCAGTCCCCATGGAGTGTTCCGGGATGATGTTCAGGAACAAAACGGACAATCATGCTTCGTTGCGCCTCACTGTCAGGTCCCAGAATCCTGACTAAGCTGCCCCTGCCAGATGTTCTCTTCCAAGTGTGGTCAATAAACACCCTGACTAGTAGTAGCTTCTAGGTTGGAGGCCTGTCAGGTTTTGATGTCAGGGGCTTCTTTTTTGATACGCTCCTCCAAGGTCGACCTATATAGCGTGATCTGTTGGTGAGTCTGTCGAGGTCCTGTCTGCATGGCACGAGAGTCACGAGAACGCCAAAAAAGATTCGTGGTTCGTGGTTTTCTACTCACGAAACGAACTCAAGTGGGTTCGATCATCCCAAGTACACATACCCCAAAAGATCCATGTAAGTTGTAAGATGATGCAAGATGTTGCAAGTATAAATATAGACCTATACATTACCACTAAAAGCACCCAAATGAACTCGGCGATCTTCCCGACCTCGGCCCCGAATCCTCAGGCTGCAACGAGGGATTCGGGCTGCCGGGTAACTCACAGTGAGCGTCTGGAAGGGTTCGAGCTCCAGACCGTTTCTCCTTGATTTCCGAAAGAACAAAAACTGGAGACTTCAAAACTTGAAACCCTTCTGTATCATGGGCTGCTCCAGTGAATTCCTGGCCCACCGGTTGATGATTATAGTCTGAATCCTGAAGAACCAGCTGTTTGACTGAGAGAGTTATCTTTGACTACAAAAGCAGGTCAACCGGTCAACCTCTATTTTTCTACGACTCTTTGCCGGCTAGGGCTGCTACTATGGGCTGCTGTGAGAGTTGCTGTACCTCCAACTTGAAAGTCTATTGAGAGGACCATGGAGGTCAGCCTGGCCTGGAGACTCTTTCGGACTCCCTCGCTTTCACATGGATTACGCTTAACCACGGTGACTCCCCAACATGTGTTTTTTGTCTTTAATGTCGTGGAAACACCTATGGCCCGGGGTAGGCCCGGTCACGCCCTCCGAGCCGTTCCTCACGCCGAGCCTCTCGAAGGGCTCAGCACACCGCAGGTGCAAGCACCGCTTGTCGTCCTGGGACATGTCGCTGTGGGTCATGGCACCAGAATTGGTCATCCTGGACCCGACTTCGTTCGTACCAAACAGAACATGGGACATGACCCGAACCAAAAAGCAGGTACGACTGAGTCCCCACGTTCCAAGGTAAGCTCCGGGTCGACTCCAGGATGGCGAATGGCTACACCCGTTGACCTACCTATGGTCGGAAGGACTTTATTTTTGAAATTGCGATGTTTGCTCGTGGTTTTCAAGGAGACCCTCGATATACCAGATACCAGGTCAAAAACGATGTGACCGGGCCTAAGGTGGACCAAAGAGGGTTTCTGGGTGAATTGAACCATAGTTTGACTCCCAACCCTCGTAACATTACAGTGTCTCCAGTCACCTTCTGAGAAGGTACTGGTGCTGTTTAAATTTGACATCGCCTTTGCAGGTCATTCTGGCGCCCGTCGGATTGTCGAGATGGTTTTGGGTTGCATCTGCCCGAATTTGACGGGAATCAAGTCATCCTGCTCTCACCGATTGAGGTTGAAAAAGCAATCCTGGATTGGCCGATTCGCAGGAAGAAGTCTTTCGCAGGAAAACGTGGAAGAAGTACCCAAACACTCCATGGGACTGCCATATTTGCCTGGTTCAATGGGGCAGAACATATATGGTAATTATACATGGAATGTTTGGGCACGTAGGAAGCAACACCCGACTCTACAGGTCCCTTCTGGCTGGAATGGCCACTTCTGGCTGCCGACCTGCAGGTCGTCGGGCCGTCGTCGGGTGCACCAGCAGGGTCGAACCGGCGCGACCTCTTCTCACCTATAGTGCATTGAGAGGACCAATGGCACAGACCCCAAGGTCGGCGATGGACCCCCATCTCTTCACATCGAACCGGGGAAACGTGCCATTTCTCACCTCTGAAACCACTCCCTAGGGCTCCAGTCGTACCTCCTCAGAAGGTATCTGGACCCTCTGAACCCACCCCAAACACCTTCTGAGAAGGTACTTGGAGCTGAAACCACTGTATTCCCTCTTCTCACCGGTCCAAACGGGTTCCTGAGGTGCGATGTGACTGTCACCAAAGCCTTGTCCCGCCATTCCTGGCCAAACGTAGACGGGTCGGAAGTCCACCCCCGGCTTCTGCGGATTTGGGACTCATGTATACCCTAGGGATCCAAGTACCTTCTCAGAAAGTACTTGGACCCTCCAAACCTACATAACAATGTTTCCAATCACCTTCTGAGAAGGTACTTGGATCTTTAGGGTATAGGCTCTTGGTCTTGATTCATCAATCAACCCCCCACCATGTTGGGAGATATGATTTCGAAACGTTTTTTTTGGATCAAGCGATCTACTCGTTTCGGTGAATGAAGGGTTTAAATGGGTTTAAAACATGTCGACAGCGGGAAGACCACACCCGCGGGACAATGAACATGGAACCTGGCTGACCTGCTAGGAAGACACCCGCGGAAACAGTGGTCTCTACCCACCTACGCGACACCCGCGGAACCCAACGACCCATGAGACTGAAACAAAAGATGCAACCCCAAACAAATCACCAATGGACCCATGAAATCCACCAACCCAACATACCTGGACCTTCAAGGGGTGTCCAACGGAGGTCCCTAGTGGGCTGGGGCTTCCAGCCAGGTGACCCCGAACAGAACGTGCCGCTAGGTGAATATAGAATCCCAGACCCTCCATATTATATACATTATCCTACATTGGGGTGGTTGAAAGGGTCAATTGATCGGCAGTCCGCCCTGGCAGTCCCAGACAGGTCGTGTCTGGGGAATTGATGATTCATCAATTCCCCAGACACGACCTGTCTGGGACATGAACTTTAAATATGCTCAAATATGGCAATACGTGGAGTGTCTGGGTATTGAGTTGGATCCAGTCCCGGAGTTTTTGCGTGGGGCAGAAAGGGTCCTCACCCTGACCTGTAGATCCCGGCAGTATGATGCTCGATCCTGTGTCTATCAATTTGGCCGCTATAAAGGCTATAAAGCATACATCAAAGAGTCTCCAATCACCTTATCAAAGGGTGGAAATGGATCCATATAATGCCTGCATTGGGGTGGTTGAACGGGGTCAATATGAAGATCCGTATCTTCAAGTCCTGTCTGGGTGATACAGTGATAGTTCTTCCTGCACCAACCTCCCAAATATGTTGCACATGGGACAAGTAGCGTGACATGACCCACTCACGGAATGAGTCATAAATGGTTCAAACGTATGTAATTATATACCCTAGGGCTCCAACCATCTCCTCAGAAGGTGGTTAGACCCCCAAAACACACCCCAACCACCGGTCACCTCAGGAGGTGGGCCAGGAGCCCTAGGGATTAGACCTATTCCACAGGCATGCCAGTTCCAAGCCGGGGTGCGGACTCCGTTCCAAGACCGGGTGCCCCTCTCACCTCCACTCACGAGCTCTGTGAGACCAGAAACCACCACGAGCTCTGTGACTCCTGGTGCTCAAATCTGCGTGACGAAATTCGAGGGCTCCAAGTACCTTCGTGTTCGGGGTAGTACTTGGAGCCCTATAGGGGACGGGTCAACTCCAGGTTCCAACCGCCGACATCACCGAACACGCTGGCTGAGTGCGGTTCTCCACGTTCTCCCGGGTAGGCCAAGCTCCCCCAACCTCCCGCCCCCTCCCCCGCCTCGCCCGTGGAGCGACGGTGACGGTTGGAGCGCGGGAATGAGTTCTTGCCCAGCAAGACTATGCGCAAATGCTGCGGATTGGACTCGGAATGCACCAAAAAGGTGGTTTCGGACCCCGGTTTGGGTCGGACTCCGTTTCTAGCCCAGGAAGATCCAGGAATTCGGATTTTGTGGGGTCCTATAGCTGCAACTTAATCTCTCTTGGTCACGTGTCAGTTATTCCTCAACTGTTTCGTTGCGAACAATAGAAGCGAAGAGGACGGTGTTTGATCTTTCAAACGGACGGTGTTCGGATTTGGCTGGAACACTTCGCTGTGGATGTTAGAAGAGCTCCAACCATATCCTCAGAAGGTGGTTAGACCCCCCAAGTCTAGCCCCACCATCTTCTCAGGCGGTGGTTGGAGCCCCAGGGATATACCCACAAAGTCAATGAAGTCGATCACAAAACGGACACGAATTGCCGATAAAGGCATATAGAACGCTTGCAACACCCTCTGGACTCCAAGAATCTCGGGTCCTGAGCACACTCCAGGCCCTCCAACCAATATCCTCCAACCAACGTCTGTGGGGCCGACTCCAACGTCTCGTCGCTTCGGCCTCGAACTCGCTCTCCGTCCCGGACGAACGAACTCGCTCTCCGCGCTCTCCGTCGGGCCTTTCTCCCTCGGAACGGTGGTCTGGTCCGCGCGGTACGAAGCGCATCACGTCGGACCGTGCCCGTGCAGGAGCTTCGGAGCTTCGGAGCAAATGGCGGAGGTTCGGCCCGGGAGGACTTGGGGGAAAACCATCAGGACTATACGACATGAGGCACGAAGAAGGACCGTTTTTGGGCATACCCTACTTACGTGCTTTGACATCTGGTTCAGACTGGACCTGTGAGGATGGTTTCTAGCCCTGTCTAAACGACGGTTCCAGCTCGGTCCAACGCTCAGTTTGTGACACGGTACGCCCGCCCCGGGAAGACCATGGCCCGGCACGCGCTTCGAAAGGAACGGTTGGCCCGGTGGTCTTCGTGTAAAATCCTTAATCCTTAAGTCCAAACAGCTCCAAATCGTTGGGCCCCCCACAGCCGGCCTCTCCGGAACGCTCCGACTGTTCAAGTACGCCCTCTAGGCTGTACTGATCAAATCTTCAAACTCCGGGCAGTCTCACAAAACCCGATGAAACCCTGAGCAGGGACCGCGGCGACATCGGAATCGCCCTCCAGGGTTCGCCGCCGCTTACAAGAGTCAAAGTATATAGCAAGAAGAAACACATGCCCAGTAAAAACTGGCACGTCCTGCCAGGGTATGCCATACTGGTGGGCGGTTTCAAACGGACCGGTTCAGCAGCCTGGGTACATGGTGGGACCCTGGTTCCTTGCCTAAAGGATCCATGTTGGCGTAAATATGACCTACATGAGTTCACCACCCAAAACATCCCAAAACCACCAGTCATGTGTGGCGATAGGACTGCTGTCCCATGGAGCGTTTTGGGTTGTCTTTCCTGGCTGGGATCCACTATACTGACTCCCGAGCCGCTTCCCTGGAATATAAATAAGCTAGTCCACCTTTTTGTTCTATCTCTCCCAGGTCATCCAGTTACCACCAGTTGGTTCCAGTTCGACTAAAACCAGTTAGACCGAACGAAGGGCCCCTGGTTCCTTATAGTGGGTTGCCTGCCTGGGATGCACTGGGTGTCAGGTCACATGCCTTGTTGCTCGTTTTTGGGGTCACCGACTCCACCAGATCGACCTCAGTCCAAACCACTGGTCCTTCGTTCAGCGGGCGACGAAGCACTGGTCCGAACCACTGCCCGGGGTGCCCCCAAAATAAGGCCCAAAAGGAAAAGAAGGCCACAAACAAATTCCTCATTCCCAGAATTGGTTTTGAGGGACAACCTACAGGAAAACCCGCTTTCTCACCCAAAACTTTCCTGTAGGTGTCCGGACTCAAGCAATTCTGGGACACATTGACCTGCGCCACACACGGCAAACTTGCGACTTCCAGGAAACGGGACGCGGTTTGGCTTTCACCTGCGCCACATGTTCCGAACGGTCTGTTGCAGCGACTCGGTTCTGTTCTGTTCTCTGTCTTCGGATTGTTTTCATTGAGTCCAGCGATGCGAATCAATCCCCCAAGGGCCTTGAGCCGTCCCCGCTACGATGACTGCTATAAGGAAATAACTCTAATAACATCTGCGAAATGGGGAGCTTATTAGGGATGTTCAAACCACAGGTTTGAGCGTACCCTGGAACCATGGGTGCTGGCTGGGGAGTGTGCAGTGGCAGATGCTAGCACTTTGTATAACCTCATCTTCCTGCCCACAGGCAACTAGTTTTGCTTTTGTTTTTTTCAATATATCATGATGCTTCAAAACACTCAAATTAGGTATATGCATTGTTTCCAGGCTGCTCCGACACACATGTTCAGTTCAATCTGAAGCCAGCAAGCTTCCAGTTGCTATGCAAAAATAGTAAGTGTACTCCTGTTCCTGGAGCTCGAGTGTGTTTTTGATTTTACTTTTCAGAGTGTGATGCATGCTTTTGAAGCTACAAGTCCATGGTAACAATGAAGAAATCAGAAAACACACATCAGTTGCATTTTCAAATCTAGGTGCAACAAAGACAAACTACGACATAAGACATCACTATGCATTTCAGATTTTGATGAAAACAACAACAAACCGATGCCAGAAACAAACAAGGTGTAGCTAGACCTCTGTCACCGATGCACATGTGTTAGAAGAGCATTTCTGAAGCAAAGGTTGCCTTTGGCTTGCTCGCAAAGTTGATTCCGATAGGAAAAAACATAAAGCACATGATGTGGGCACTGGACGGGGGCTAGCGCAAATCTATTTTTGCAAGCCTTTCTGGATGGAAGTGCATTGCTGAAGAGAACCAAAGATACTTCATCAAGCTGGGGGAGCTTTTTGTGCCATCACATTTGGACACATCGTAGGTGCAATTTGCAATTAAATATTGGCCATGTCCAACATGTCCAATGTGCATTAAAGTTCCTGTACATTGATTCGCAGCGATGGTGGTGGTTCCATGGCCTCACAGGCCCATATTCTGATCTTGCTGCATTCCAGCATCCTTTGCAAAGCTGGTCTAGTCGCATCTGGTGACACGTTCCTATTTTCATTTCAGAAAATGTACTAGTTATGTTTTATTTTTCTTTGTGTAGTCATACCAGGCACCGTGAGGTCATGTGAGTCGAATCGGGGCGGTTGGTGTTTACTAGACAGATCAAAGTTCTTGACCAGGCTTCTGCGATTCCTGGAAGCAGCATCCAATAGATCCACGCAAGGAAGAAGGATTGGGCATCGCGCTTGCTCAGACGTGCTGGATCAGTTTCGACATCTTGTTTCTGACAAGCAACTAACATGTTTTTGTTTTCAGCAGGATGTTGATGCTGATGCTGTTGTTGTTTGAAGGTGAGTAGAAAAGTGATTGGGATGGGCTTAGGACTCAGGAGTTTAGGTCCTTAGGAGTTTTTTCCTATCAGATTGGCATTCCTAGAAGGAGGGTTGAGAAATTAAGGATCTTGATGTTGAGGTCAGGTTTTGTTTTCTATCATGGATCAAATGGATCAACCAAGCCTAGGCTTTGTCAGTCCATGTTGGCGGATCAGAAACCGAGATGTTTGCATTGGAACTGGTCCCGCGAATGTTCTATTCTTTGGGGCTTTCAATCGATGAGGCTCAATGGCTTAGTACCATGAAAGACGTGTCCAGGTCAAAGAAATGCATAGAGATCCAACAGCCAGAACTTCCCGAAACTATTTCAGCAGGCGATCTGGATGGAAGCTTTGCCACTCAAAGCCCAGCAAGCAGTGCAAAGAATCCGTCTCCATCCCCTTGCCCTTCTTCAGTGACGTCGTTTGACGTCTTGAGTGGAGAAAACGAAGAGTTGAAGCGGGAAAATCAATGCTTGAAGAGAAAACTGTTTCAGGCAAATATGTTGTTGGCAGCTCGGAAATCCAAGATCCACCGTGCTCGTGTCAGAACTGCAAAAATGCAAGCAAAGAAAATTGCCGAGGACGCCAAAAGAGACGGTCTTATGGAGATTCGCAAAACAAAAAGTTCACGCAATTTGACAGCGGCTGGTGTTGTTGCAACTGGGTTGAGGATGGCGCTCTCATCCTGTAGCGCCCTTTCGTTTCCTCGTGCGGCTTGGGTGGACATTTCAAGAACTACTGTCTCAAGGTGTGAGGTGAAATTGGCAGCGACAGTTGTCATTCGGTCTAAAGTTCTTAGCAACTTGGTGTTCCACCGCTTTGCCTACAGCATTCCTCAGATTGAGCAAGTGGGCGTGAGCCAGGAAAATGTGAACCTTGCTGCTGCTATGGCCAGCCTGCCTGACTTCAAGTGTTGCAAACCGTTCCTCCAGGACTTGCGTGTTAGATGTCAGCAGAAGTGTTTTGATACTTCTGCAGAGTTGGGCAGAGAAGAGATCAAAGGTCTTTTGACTGGTTTGCATGAGCTTGTCAGCCTACCACCGCCTGCAAACGAAAGCCTCTTCATCAGCGCACTGTCTGTTCAAAATGATGCCACAAATTCAGAAATTTGGCACAAGAATAAACTGACCAGCATGGCTGTTGAGATATCTACACTGGTTGATGTGGAACTACTCAGCAAGGGAGACTATGAGAAAGCTTTCTTCACAGATCATTACATGTTTCTTTATTTGCTTGGCAATTGTTTCTTTTGATGTGGCTTTTTGAATCCCGGGCCCGGTCCCTATGATGGTAGGGCTAAGACTGGGAGAATGGGGAGTAACGAGTTGGCGTGTTTTGAATGCCAAGGTCAGATGTTCTTCCTGTTGCGCCTGGCTCCGGATCAGCTGCTGGAAGTTTGGCGCTTTTGCAAAAGCAAATGCATGCTCTGGGCTTGCCGGACTGGAATGATTTGCGGAACCTCTCAAGGCGCAACAAAAACATATCAAGTAATCAGGTAATGAATGGGCCATGGGACGGAATAGACTGACACTCACTGACACTTGACACTGACACTTTACCATAGGCGGACTAGAAAAGGTGGAGTGGAATGAGTAAGCACTCTTAACCATGGGTGGAAGCCTCAAACCTTGAT